GTAGTTATTTTAAATCTTCACCTGAGGAGAGAGAGAGCACGCTCCACGTGAGATTGTTGCCTCCTGCACAATTGGGGCCAGGGAATGAAACTGCAACCCAGGTGTGTGCCCTTGACCAGAATTGAACTCGAGACCCTTAAATGCGCAGGCCAACGCTCTAACCATCATACAACATCACCCAGGGCTAAAGTAATTATTATCTTTTTAAAAATTTAAATATCCTTTTATTGATTTCAGAGAGGAAGGGAGAGGGAAAGAGAGGGGGGAACATCAGTGATGAGAATCATTGATCGGCTGCCTCTTGCATGCCCCAACCTGGGCATCGAGCCCCCAACCTGGGCATGTGTCCTTAACTGGAATGGACCCTGGGACCCTTCAGTCCGAAGGCTCTATCCACTGAGCCAAGCCAGCTAGGGCTAAAGTTCTAGTATTTTTTAAAATTCTGCCCAATTCTTTGCTCTCCACAAGAAATACGTATCTTATTCTATGTTACAAGACAGTACTGCCATTAGAGCTAAACAAAAGGTCCTTTCTATTCCATTCAGAAAATAGTCCCTCATATGAAAGCAGACAGTTGTTGCCATTGCAGCTCTTCATGGAGGGGTTTCTACCCCTACTCCATTCAAAGTCCACCTGGCCCGAGGGCATTTTGGTGAGTCCATCTCTTTTAAGTCAGCTCCTCTTTCTACTGCTACACCTCCCTCCTTTCCTTCCTCCCTACAGCCTCAACTCAGAACCCCAATCATCAGCATTATCAAATCAACTGCCCAAAGGCTATGAACTGTTTTGTTCAAGAGAAACCAACCTGGAGGCAGCTGAAGGAGAAACCCAAGGCAGTGGTTCTCAACCTTGGCTGCACAGTAGAATCACCTGGGAAACTTTTTAAAATCCTGATTTCTGGGCCTCACCCTCAGGCCTCATCCTCAGGAAATTGTTTCTTTGTTACTAATGTCGTGGCCCCACTCCATAACAAAGAAACAATTTCCTGAGGATGAGGCCCAGAAATCAGGATTTTAAAAAGATTCCCAGGTGATTCTACTGTGCAGCCAAGGTTGAGAACCACTGCCTTAAGGCATTTTCAATAGCACTACAAGCTGTGCTCTCAATGCGGCAAATAAAAAGCAAATGCAAATCACTTCCCGGTGGTTTTCACAAAGTAAACACACCGAGGAGCATACAAAAATCGAATATTTCAACCTACACTCTGTTGAGGTTTCTGCTTGAGAAATGACACCAAATCTTTGACATCTAAGTCCCATGTTTGCAAGAGGACTTTCCTACAAGAGCGGTTATGTAAAACATAAACCTGGCAAAGCTGATATGGAACAACCCATGTTCCCAGCTCAGCGCGAAACCAAACGCTCTAGCCCCGCGTCGGTACCTAAGGGAGGCAGCAAACTTTGTTTTACGAAAACGTCTCTACCTGCAGCCCACAAACACTGGTCAGAGTATCTGGCCACCAGTTATGTTTTGTTTTTAACCCCCAACAGGCAGCTGAAGATTTCACTAAAAAGGGACGGCTGAGGAGGGGGCTGTGATCCAAGCGGGGCTGTCGAGTGTGGGCCACGTTCTAATTTCTTGGTCTGACTGGCAGCTAATTGGGAGTTTGCACTGTACTTCTCTGTTAAAATGGGCACATCCTGTACTTTAAGTCCTCTTCTAGTATATCATACAAATGAGGACAAAAAAACACCTAACGTTACATCCCCCACGGCAGCGACTTGGAGATGCCTGACTGCGATCACTGCCCGTCTGCAGCCCCACGTGAGCACCGGGACGGTGCGGCGTGGCGGCGCCAAAACGCTCTGCCCCGAGGTCG